AGGTAACGAAAGAGGAGCGATCCTTGACCGGAAGTCAGATCTCTCGCGTCGTTGCGCTTTATCCTCCACGATATTACACAGAAAAAATGCGCGACATTTTGAACCGCGATCAATCAAAATTAGGGGCGCGACGAATACACACATTGAGAGAAAAAAAAATATCTAAGAAATAAAAAATTATTACTCGGTGAGTACTGATATAAAACGTTATTTTTACTTACACTAATATAAAATATTTCTCAAATAAGAAAGTACACGTTTTCTCAAAACCTCAATTTTTCATGAAAACAATTATTTATTCTACTTAATTAAAAGAATTATCAATGAAATATAATAAAATATAGTAATACTGTTTAAAGGATTTAGATTGATATTAGTATCCACTGGAAACAAATTTTTTTTATTTCTAGAAGTTTTTCTCGCAGTAGTGGCCTGATTAAAAAGGGAGAAGTTAAAGAAGCACGCTTGGAAGTATCCAAGCGAAACTCCGCGCAAAAATGACGATGACTCGCCTACGTGGCATCCTCGATCTTTCTCCTTTTGCTGACCTTCTCGCTCACTCAGATAAAGACAGCAGTTCGTTTTGGCACGTGTCCCGATTAAGATCGCGCCGCTAATTGCGTCCCGGCCGCATCAGCAGCCTGCGTGGCAGCGGTTATTTCGGCGCGTTCGAATGATGTGTGCGTCGCGGCTCTATTTATGCGAATTACGCGCTGTTACGCGGCTTTAGAAGCTTTAGAAGCTTTCGAGACCGCCGATGAGGCGTGCGCTCCGGGTGAAAAATTGTAATTTCAAATTGATTTCTCCGAGAGACAAGAGGAGAGAGAGGGAGAGAGAGGGGGAGAGAAGAGAGGAGAGAGAGAGAGAGAGAGAGAGAGAGAGAGAGAGAAAATTGCCCTTGGGTCCCATACATTATTCATCAAGACATATTTTGACGAACAAGTTTTCACGTAGAACGAAGCTCATCCGCGCGACATCATGGTTTACAAAAATTCTCCTGATCTATAAAGCGTATTATCTTTTTCTGGGTTCATGTCGACACAGCATGCACCGTGCCGTGAGTCCAAATGAATCGAGCAATACGCGGGTGAGAAGCCGCTTCGGTGACGCGATTTCCAGTTCCAGGCGATGGAAAATACGATCTTATTAAGGTGCTCTTCATCGTGGAGTATCGTGCGTCTTTGGTCTTTAAGTACGTAGTACCAGCAACGTTAATTATGTCGTTTTAGTTAGAATAACGTCGTCATCGCCTTTGGTCTTTGCGATCAAAGGCAAAGGAACAGGAAAGAGCAAATATATGCGTTGCTTAATATTCGCGCGTCTGTTCAATCCTACGCGCGCGCGCGCCGAGTTTGATTGCGTAAGCTAGATTAATGTATCCCTAATAACGCCGGCAGTTATTAACAATTCGCGGCGTCCAGCGGATAAGTATTTTTTATTTCTTAGATATTTTTACTCTTATAGAGTGTATGATATTGAAGTGTGAAACTGGCAACGAAAACAAGGTCGAAAAGCCTGGCGCTGCAAGATCGCGAACAATAAAATATAAAAGATGAGATACTGAAGTGTGGAACTGGCGATGGAAATAAGCTCGAAACGTGCCTGGCGCTGCAAAATCGCAAAGATGCAAAGTGATATGCGCGATGAGCGATAACCGTGTCTAAAAATACGTGCGTTTCTTCGATATATACACACACATACACACACAATGCGTAATTTATTCCGGGTCGCGAGCAATGCGACATCCGCTCTCTTTTCTCGCTCGACAATACGACTGAGATGATTTTGCAGAATCGTTCACGTGACCGATACCGCTCTCCGCTCGGGAGTCGAGAGAGAGAGAGAGAGAGAAAAAGAGAGAGAGAGAGAGAGACAGACCTTCGGCTACAAGACGCAGGCGACTGTGGAACGATTTGAAATTTACAATTCGCGACTCCGACCGACCGTTCGCCTACGCTGTTCACGCATGAGCAATCCGTTCGCGTAACTAAGGATAAGAGAGCGGTAAAAATCGCGTCGCTAGAGGATATATTCAACGTACACGCCGCGAGATTCCGCGGATTATTGGCAGAAAGTTCCAATTAGTAGCGGCATTAATAACGCAGCGAGAAAATAGAGAAGTGCCGCCAAGCGCATTTCGTTGTTTTCTCCTTCTCTCTTTTCCTCTTTCTCTCCCTCTCCCTCTCCGGTGCGTCCTTCGCGATCGCGAAATCGCGCGGCGTGGTAAACGGCCGGCGGTTTCCGCGACCGATAGTAATATCTGACAGGTGCATCAACGCGTCGTTTCGCCGCCGGTTACGGCGGTCCGCGGTTAAACGAAGCGTATCATTCGCGGACGGAGGAAAGAAGTAGGTGGCATTCCGGCACACACCACAGGAAGTTAATTAACATCTTGGACGGGCTCCCGAGAAAGAGAGAGACAGAGGGAGATGAAGCGAGTCTCTCCGCGGTAGAACGACGAGCTAGTAGATCTAAATAAACCAGAAACTCGCCGTATCTCGCGCGTGTCTGCCCACGTATGCCTAAGAAGAGGCCGGAGCGCTTGTGACGTACGCTCATTGCTTACGAATAGTCGATTCTCCAGTCAATTACTGACAAAGTTCATCACATCCCTTTCTGTCGAAGTTTTCTCTCCTTGCGGGAGAAAGAGGAGGAACAATGTTTGAGGCTTTTAATCTTCGCGCTGGGAAACTGCGTTTCCCGTTCTTTAACGTCGCCTGGTATTTTCGTGTACAACGGCTGTGTAATTAACGAGATAGGAGAAAAATTGCGCGTCGTAGATTACTGCTGGTAAGTAGAGGAAGAAATTACGGACACGCGGACCGGTCATTTCAGCGCAAAGCCGACGATGCAGCGCTCTCCTACACGCGAGCGATCGCTCAATCCATTTGTCCTAACGGGATTTCGCGCGGTCCTAGATTACGCGACCGGTAGGAAGCTCGGTTATCAACGCGATGACGAGAGCGAACTCGTCCCGCATCTCACGGGTTCGCCGATCCTAGCCGGCCGGTGTTGTGAATGATCGCGATTTATGAGATTCTTCGCGGTGGTAGCGGCGAGATCCGAGAGCCGGGGTCTCCGATCTCGAGAAAGAGAGACAGAGAGAGAGAGAGAGAAAACGGAATTCGGCCGGTCGACTTGCGATCGTTAAAGGTACCGCCACAACGAGTGGCGTGCATCCGGATCTGACGCGCAGTCCTTTACGCGATCGTGCTTCATCGTCCCGTCTCGTTCCGTCCGGAGATAGAATTTAATTTGCGACATCGGCATCGAAGTTTTCTCAGCGCGTAGTCACGAGCCTCCCCTTTACCCGCTGCCCGCTTGTAAACATCTTCATAAACGCCTTAATGCGTTATCCGGACTATTACGCCGGCCACGCTTGAGTTATCTCGCGCGATGAGCTTTGCTTTTGGTGTTCGTCGTCGCTGCTTTACCGCTGTTGAATCTGATTTACATGGCGCGGTTGCTTTCTGCCCGCACCTTTGCGGCCCGCAGGTTCAACTTGTCCGACACTTCTTTTAATCGCCCCCTATCTGTCTCAGTCGTGCATACTCAATGCTCGCGACTTCGTGATCCTGATCATTCGTGCGCGAATCCCGCTCGAGTTGCCGATGATAAATTTGTCGAATCAACGACGCGACAGCAATTACAATAGATTCTTCGCTCCTTTCTTTCTTTTTTGGATATGTAATACATCTAATTAGTCATAAATATAAAAAAAATTGTAACTGTAATATACACACAAATAATTTAAATAAATTAAAATAAATATTTGGCGAAACGGTCCTTGAAATTTCGCTCTGATAATGATAATGTTAATTTTATAAAAATTTCCTGCCTCTGAGTTGTTTTGGCAGTTTACATAGTTCCCTGCATGCGAGATGGCCGGACGCTAATCGCCGCGGCGTTCGACGATTCGCGCGAAACAATGCGAGCTCGTAAACGCGACCGTAAATTAAAATTAGCTTAAGCGAATTGCGCGCAAGCGGCGGTGGTGCCGGTTCCGCCGTGACTGAAGGATGCTTCAGCCTCGTAAATCTCAGACAGCGTCCTGAACTCATAGCTCCTGTCTAGCCGGATAAGTGCAGCGTGCACTCAAGAGAACCGAGATAAATGCCGCGAGTTTGCGTTGGAGTGAAACGAAGTGCCGCGCATTACTCTTCGCCTGAAATGGGCGACGGACGGCTGGCATCCGATTTTTTGGTTGCTTTCTTTGTTCAATCATTCTCTCTCTCTCTCTTCTTCGATATTTTTTAATTTAATATCATTAAATTTGATTGCTACAATTGATTTTCTGTAAATAATATTCTTTTAGATCACCTTGAAGCCTATCGTGTTCGAAAATATCCATTTTTTACAATTTTAATGATTTATTTAATTATATATATATATATATGGAATTTATTATTAATCAGTTAATAAATTGTTTTAGTTAAAATAAATTAAAATTATAAAATAAAAAAATAAAATAAAATTTCAATTATATATAATTGATATAATACACATAATTTAGATCAAAAAGATATCTCCTATTACCTATAAATTCTTGTTTGGTCATTAGAGACACGTCGTTTAGCCGAGACTCGAACCCTAGCTGTTATTTCGAAGTGTAGTTTCACAATCTCCGCTATGAGCCGCCACCTTATCGAAAAACTAAGATCGCAATACGATTCGAGCCAAACTTTTTATCTTTGAGTTTCTCAAAAAATTCTTGTTAACTAGTTGAAACTTAGCAGTATGCTGGAGAATTATTTTCTTTTCAGATAGTAAGTACGACTCAACAATGCGTCAGACGATCTTTTTGTTTTCTTGGTGTTTTCAAAGTCAAAAGATCTTTTGATATTCAGATGATACGGCTCAGCAGCACGTCAGGCGAAATTGGCATTGTCGCCTTGAATTGCAGCGAAAATGCCGAATCAAATAACAACTTAACAAACAACTTAAAAAACAACTTAAAAATACTGAAATGTATATATACTGTGTGTAGCGGTGGAACTTACTCTTACAGCCGTCCGATGCCAAGTCGTAATGGTCCACGTCGCAGTGGTTGCACCGGGAGCCGATCACGCCTGGTGCGCACCTGCATACACCGCTCACGGGATCGCAGAGTCCACCAGGGGCACCCACGTCGCAATCGCACTCCTGGCAACCTGCGGTCACGTTCCCGTAGCCCTCGATGCACGAGGAACAGTCGCGACCGGTGAACAGAGACTTACAAGGACACTGACCGGTCGTCCTATCACATTGAATGGAATTGCTGCCGTAAATTGAACAATTGCACGCTGAAACATATAAATAGTTACTCCGCTTTTAACATGTCCTCATTGGCGCGAATTTAAGAAGACATCGATTCTCCTCCCGCGTTCTGAAGAATCAATCTCTGACCGGAGTTACTTTCAATTGTTAGCACTTACGTATGCAATTCAATTCCAAGGGATCCCCGTAGTGAGCTTCTTTGCATCGGTCGCATTTCCAGCCTTCAGTGTTGCCGCGGCATTCCAAGCAGCGACCTGTCTCTTGATCGCAAGCGCCGCCATTGCAGGGACACCGCTGACAAGTGCCACCGGGAGTCAAAGGATTACCATAAAATCCTACGTCACAACTTTTAACCAAGATCAAAATTAAAGCTCTCCAGTCGAATAGTAAAATCTTAGCGATGATTATTGATTGAAAATAATACTTTTAACATATTGTATTAATTTTGCAACATGAATTTTCAGTTTGTGAGACTATAAGGTCCTCAAAAGATTTAATAAGATTTTACACAACAGTTGCCATTTATATTTACTATAATTGATTATTGTAATTTAATCGATTCCGAAACTTTATGCGTAAAAAATCATTTACTCGGCAATGTACAAATCGTTCATTTCTTTACCTTTCGCAATGATCCCCGGTATATCCTTCGGGACACTGCGTGCACACGTATCCACTATTAATATCAGTGGGATCATCAAGTTGACAACTCGGACTAAAATTGTTGGTCTCGATGGACAATGGACACGCGCATTTCTTGCAGTCTTCGTTAGTGCCCATTAACGCGTTACCGTAATATCCTATAGCGCAACGGTCACATTTGGGGCCCACCGTATGATGCAAACACGTCTATAAATCAAGCAAATAATACACCGCTTATTGATTTATATCCGCAAAGATGATTTCTTTACATTATTTAAAAGTACAAAACTAATTTTTTTAAAGCGTTTATATATTGTAAACGCAACCAAAACTAAAATTTTGTGTGTGTGTGTGTGTGTGCATAAGATGATCTCAAAACCGTTGAATTTATATAATAAATTTACATTAAATAGAAGATAGAAATTATTGCATCAACCATCTTTTGTGTCTGTTTGTAAGAGGTAGCGTAACCGGCAGTTCCTAAGCAGTACTTTATCGATGTCGGGAGCAGAGCTGTACGCTGTACGCTGTAGTCGGTAAAATCGTTCGTGATTATTGTAAATCCCGTGATCCACGGTCGCGGAATCGACACGAGCTCGGTTACTTCAGGTATTCTACTCTACCGGCTAAGGATCCGTCGTAGCGCGGCGTTCGGATCGAAGGTTCGCGTCCGCGTTAAAGCCCGATGCACACTGGCGTAATTCGTTCTCATATACGTTTCCTACGCTAGATATACTTTCGCTAATTTTGTACTCTGAAATAAATAAATAAAAATTTACCCCGCACTCGCCCATTAAGAGATCGCAGGATTCCACGTGACCGTTGCAGTCACATTTTACACATAAATGATTATCTTGGAAAGGAGTACTGTTGGTGGCGACTTTTGCGTATCCCCAAGCACATCTCTCGCAGGACAACCCCTCGTATCCCTTGGGACATTCGCACATTTCGACTAGATTATTGGTCTCGCCGTCTGACGAAAATTCGCTCGTTGTCAATATGGCAGATTGAAGACTAGAAAAGAAAAAGGAAACATTTTTTTTACATTGTCCTGAGTTTTCAATTCTAGGAAAAATCTTATCATTTGTCTATATTATTAAACTATATTATAGATAGCATATGGAGAAAATAAATTGAAAAATACTTAAAGGAAAATAACTTTTAATAAATACAATTGATGAATTTTATAATCAAGAATGAACAATTTATTCAACGATCTTAAATTCGAATTGAAAAGATCGATAATTTGCACGTACCTTCCTTCAATTTGTTCCGAATGATATTGTGCCCTAATCATCAGGTACTTCAGATCAGCGAGAACACGCATCATCTGAATCTTCGTCACAGGATCGCCGCGAAACTCGGTTCTTCTTGATCTCGTCGGGATGTCTCGAATCTCGTCCCGAACGTGGTACCAGTTATGTTCTCGCAGAGGCACCGAGATCTTCGCTTTATCGCCGCTATATTGTTCCTCGCCATACGCGATGCGCAATCCGTTGTTACCCTGCGTAAAAAAAGCGACAAATAACACGTTATTATGTATCAATTTTCTTCTCGCGTTTTTTTCTTTTTTGTAAGATACGCCAAGCAGACGATTGATACACCAGCAGACAGGGGAAATACTTACAACCAGGATGACATTGGGTCCGATGGTTGGTTTACCACTGCTGTCGCCTCGTATGACGACCCACGTAACGGAGTATGTGAGATTGCTGCCGTATGAGGACAGGCGATTCCCCGTGTAGATCTGCGGCGCCAGCCAGAAAGGGCTGCTGACCTCGTAGGCCGTGACAGTTAACCATCCGTCGTCCGTCTTCAAGGTGGGAACGACTGCTCGGGACGCGTTCATGTCGGTTACCAACCAGTTCTCCAGCGTGGAAATCTGGAAAAAAGAGGCAAATTGCGCGGCTCGCCAGTCGTTACATCGATGGGAAAGCGTTTCTATTTTATTCTGCGCGAACGAGGAGACTATAGAACGTTTCGTGATGTCGAATCTTCACAGATATTTTATAATGCAATCAATATTATCTTCAATTTACATAATATAATTATGTGTGAAGGCGTGATACAGTAATTTATTGTGATACATTAACGATAATTTATGATATAATCTGATTATATGCTATAATAATATGTTATGACGGTACGTGATATAATTCCAAAATAAATAACTAATTAACTAAAAATAAAATACATAATGATACGATAATATTTTATGAAAATTGCAGAGAAGAAAAACAGAAAAAGAAAATAAGCCTTACCATACTGTACGACAAACTGGCGGCGGTGCAGCGATCAGTCGCGCCGAAACAATAGCAGGGCGAGCACCCATCAAGATTATTTTTGCTGAGCGCAAAGTAGCCGGGCTTGCAGCGGTCGCAGAATTCCCCGGCGACGTGTGCCTTGCAGAGACATTCGCCCTCGCAATCGTCGGACGGCAAGATCCCACGGGAGTCGCAAGGACAGGGCGTGCAATTGGGAAATTGCTGATAGCCCGCCGCACATTGATCGCACATGTAACCCGAATAGCCTGGCTTGCACTCGCAGGCACCTGCTACCTGGAGCACGACGGTGTTTATATATTGATTAGTATCCTATCGTGAGAACGTCGTCGCTGTCGATTGCTGGGATAATCGGTGTAGAGTAATCGACGCGTATAAATCTTGCGCAAGCAATTGTCGGTTAATAATTCTTCGAGATTCAGTGAAAGCAACCGCGGGACGATCCTCAGATCATCGTGGGATGAGAGAGAAAGAGAGAGAACAAGCGAGCGACGACGCGACTCGAAGCTTACCGGGAAGGAACGTCGCAGAAGCGAGTTCTCGCGTGAGCGCTTCGACTTTCGTCCAAGTTCCTACGGCAAACATTTCGTGTCTGCTGTTCGATTACATTTCGCGCACAGGAAGCTCTTACCTTGCCCATGTGAGTATACGAGTCGTCGGGAGTGCAGTAACCGGTGCTGCCATGCACGTTACAGTTGCAGCGCATGCACGGTTCCGATGCATCAGATGTGACACCATTCGGTCTGTAGTAGCCGATCTCGCATCTTTCGCAGTTGATTCCGGTCGTGTACTCCTGCGAAAGATTTTGCGCATTCCTAATCTGGTATTATATATTGCGGATTCCTAATCTAAATATAATTCTTTGAAACGTAACCTCAAATTGTACCTCCGATCGCGTTAGAAAAGTTTCATCTGTCTCATTTTTCTCATCTTACGACGAGATTTCACATGTGCTACTGATGTATTTTAGAAAATGAAATGTGCTATTAGAACACGCATTGCTATGTTTCTAACAAAATCTGCTATATAAATGAGAAAGATACATCTACTGTGCTTCTAATGAAATTTATTTGTTCTTCAGCAAAAGAGAGAGAGAGATTTTACTGACATACTACACTCTCACTTCTGGACTACTAATTCTAATTCTCGGCCAATAAATTAGGCGATTCTAATACTATTTGAGTGATTAGGTAAAGGCTCTTGCGATATACAATCAGAAAGAACAAAAAATAAGGCAAATAAGAGCCAAACGCCGATCGTTAAAGCGGAATTAACAATTTAATAAATACTAATGATGGATGATGGATTCATGGATTGATGATTCATGGATTCCGGTGGTGGTATCATTTATATTAAAATACAAACAATTCAAACGTTTCGGTATATCTTTTGGATCCTCTTCAGTAATAAATATAAGTATAAAAAGCGCAATTTAAATTAACATCGCCATATGTCGCATTAAAATAATTCATGAATCACACATCGACAAATTATGCAGAACGAATCTAATAATAAATCTAATGAGTTAACTGTTTAAAACTTTATTACCTAGTTTTTACTACTTGAGTAAGTCAATGGAAACAAGTGTAAAAGACGCCGACTCGTAACAAGCACTACTTGTAGAATGTAGAAAAATAAGTAGATTACTCCATAATAATATACTTAGGACTATTTCGGCACTTTCGATACTTATTTCCATATGATATTTACTTTTGACAGACAAAAGATGCACAAAACGCGGAGCAATGTTGATCGACGTGTTAATGACGGCTGCTTGACGCAAAGAGTACTAAACTTGGCGTGCAATTGTCGTTCTCGCGCTCCCATAACGGCGCCCTCTGTATACTCAGCTTCCCGAATCGATTCATCCGATAGATCGCGACACGATCGATCGATCTATCGAATGTATTGATTTGCGGATTAAGTGTGCAAATGAGAGTCGCATGTAGAAGCATGAGAATAATAGCGATAGTTATTAGGAACTTTTGAACAGTCAAATTCGTTTCTAGTTACGCGTTTTTCATGACTATTAATTAATCCGAAAAACACGTTCCCACTTTTTGGATTAATCAATAATTATGAGAAATGCATAAAATACGAATATTCTATATGAGTTCTTTACAAGGAGTTAGATACAAATGTGCGACTAACCAAAAGTTCCCAGTAATTATAAATCTTTTAATAGTAAAATACTTGAGTTTGCAAATAAACGCGAAACGGAGAAGAATCGTGATTGACTATCGATTGATATTCGCCACGTGTAAATCAATTATCCTCTTCGAAATAGCGAGAATACGTGTTAAGGTAAAAGCACCAATTTTTGAATACGCACACTGTGAGAAAAAAAATATTTAAAAAATAAAAAATATTTATTCGGTGGATACTAATAATATATTTACTTAAATTTTCTTATTTAAATAAAATAAATAATTACTGTCATGAAAAATGCTTAGATTTGAAGAAAATGTACATTTTTTTATGTGAAAAATATTTTATATTTGTATAAGTAAATATATTATCGGTACCTATCGAATAGATATACTCTCTATTTTTTAGATATTTTTCTTCCAATGTACTTAATCTTGAACATTCTTATTGTTTTAAACCTTTTCATTCTACCGATGACGAGAATTCTCACCATTTAAATGGCATCATTTAAATGCAGATATTTAAACTTTTAATATAAAATATATGTTGAAGTATTGTTGTATGAGTATTGTTAAATTATTGAACAGAATCTTGACATATATTCGTGATATATGTACGTATATTTTATATACAAAATTGAAATGATATTCATATTTGGATATCAAAGACAATAAGAATGTCCAGGATCAGACACGTGTCCGTGCATTGGTACTTTCACCTTAAATATGTCTGCTCGTAACAATTCCTTGCTCATTCTTGCTCATAATCTCACCGAGCAATTGACGCACACGCCGCCGCCTCGGTACTGCCCGTGAATATCCATAGACATATTCCTCCTGGCCACTTCCTGGTCGTATCTGCAGGATGTTGCATGACCGTTGCAGTTGCATTTCTCGCAGTGGAAACCCTTATCGACGGTGCCGGGCCTCCACGGGATCTGATTGTACATGGGGCAGCATTTTTCGCATCTTTCGCCGCACGTATGGCGCTCGCACTCACATTTCTGATGCTGTGGGATAACATGAAATGCGCTTATCAGATTCTCGCCGAGGCGAAGTAGCCGCGCTCTCGAACGTACGTGCGTATCGATGCACCTAGTGCGAATGCACGCGATCTATCACAGACGGACGGAATGACGTGAAGAAAAAGAGGCGTGCGTTCGCGCGTCGGACGCACCGCAATATTTCTCAGTGCATTAGCTCGTTTGCGAGCAGAAGGATCCGTGAATGACACTCGTCTGTCGCGAAGCAGGGTCAGAGCTTACCTCGAATTTCCCGATTTCGTCGGCTCTCCACGTTTCACGAATAATAATCAACTTAAATCGTTGCATGATAATTATCGACCATTAAATAAATAGATTTTATAAATAAATCTAACAAAAATATTTCCATTATTATCACTCCGATTATCATTATTATTATTACATATCTTATTATTGGACTCATCGCTAATTTTGTATTTATACTGAAATTTTGTATTTATACTGAAAGAGAAATGTTGTAATAGTTAACAAATGCATTTGATAGAACGTTTCAGTATATCTGATATAATCAGTAAAACAAACTTTTCGTTTGATTGAACTAATTCGGTGACATGTAAATTGGTAATGGTTATCAAGTTTTAGCATCAAACCTTGCTACGATTATTTGTTAATACTTACCAGATTATTTAATTTTAATCACCTATACGTTCACAATTGCAACTATTTCACCAAAGCATCTGATAACTATTGTCCAGGTTATTATCAAATATTCTTTTCAATATGCTATCAATGTACGTGACTTTTCAAGTGTATATTATTCAGATAAGCGATGGAGCTGAAAAACGCTTAAAAAAACGAACACAAAACGTGGAAAAAAGCGTGGTCAGTAAGTCTTTTGATATTTAATATGTCAATTTCAATGTCTGTTAACTGAATTCCGGTAAAATTGATAAAAGCGCACCACTTTTTACGATAAAATGAACAGAAATAAAAGAAAAATTCAGATGATAAATAAAATAATCGCGGTTAGACGCAAACGTGCGAGACGTTTTGTGTTCGTGTAAGTACAAAAGTCGTTCAACTGAACACTGAGAGGATTTCTAGAAGACGCGAGATTCGATGTTGTGCTCGAAGGTCACATGTTCCAAAGTCGAGCACGAATGAAACAGCAGGATTATCATCGTTATCATAACAGACGCGACGAAACTGTGTTGTTAACATCGTCGTTAACGACAATTTCATCGTCTGTCGCGTGTATTGATTGTCGTGTGAGAGCCTGGCGCGCGCATGGCGAGTTGCCAAAATTCAAAATAGAAGAAGCATCAAAACACCGTCGCCACTTCGGGCTTACGCCGATGTTCGAGTTCTTGCTGTTTCACACGCGTAGAGCGAGATTATCTAATATTACCAGTCCCTCGCGATCGGCGAGTGAGAGATGAATAATCGAAAGATAGTCGAATAAAACGCACGTCGAATGAATCGCCGATTGTGCACGAATAAATCGGTACATTCGGTAATATTACGTCCGTCCGGATGTTGCTGCATCGCGACGGGGTCGTAAAGACGGTGCTTCATAGTTCGCGTTGCCCTGTTCCGATACGTGTAAACGATACGCGTGTAACTCTCGCGGATAACTATATCGCCGTGCATAAAGCGGAGTTTCTCAATGCTCGCGGGCGCAGTACGTTCGTTTTACGAGTGCGTCCGCCATTCGACCATTCCTTCTCCAGGAGGATCCGGCAATTGTGGCTGTAACATCGCGGAATTGCCGTTTGCAAACAGTAAACTACCCGATCGCGCGACCAAAGTATGAGCCATGAACGTAATAAACAGTTTTAAGCGCGCGAACGTTAATCCGTAAATTTGCTTCACGAATAGCAATTTTTGCTTCCTTCTCTCGTAAAGTATCGCGCGGGTAAATATGCGGTACATTGAAATTAACGTGGACAAATGTGGAAACATTCAAAATTAGGCAAGTAAGAGTCAATAATAAAGTTGTATCTTGGAGCTAATAATAATACCTAATGGTCATGTAAATACACACAATACCAATAAAATTCTCTGTGCGTACATGAAAGCAGTTGTTTAATTCATTTAAACAAGTGAATTTTGACTTAAGGGCACAGGAAGCACGATTTTCAGATTGCCTGAAAATCGTGCTTGTTCTTTCACAATTTTTACGACAAACTGAATGAATATGCGAAAGTGTTATTTTACGCGTATTTATACAACATATAAAGAGAAGAAAAATTTTGATGATCAAATACTCAATATAAGTGTATAGTACATGCAGTTAAAATATATTTCGTTTTTTTTTCAAGGTCGTCATTTTGCAGTAATATCTTGACTCTCGATGGTCAATTAAGCTGAATTTCAGATAAAAAATTTCCGTAAGCTTGTCGTTATCGTGTGAACTACTAACAAACTTGTGAAAATATTTAATTTTGAAATATTAATTTTTTTACTATAAAATAACTGAAAATTTAATAATATTCCATTGAAATATTTGCAATTTTGTTAATTTTTACTCAATTTCTATTATAGTGGTTCACACGATAACGACAAACTTACGAAAAGAGGACGGCCAAGATGTGCCTATATTCCCGGTAGTCCAATATGGGGTCGATATATATATATATCAAATTAGAGATCTCAATGAGCTGAAGACGACGTACTATGTCTCATTTTGGTAGAGTACACGGGGACGAGAACTTCTCTTTTTCCAACACTTGAAATCGCCGCAAAAATTGATTTCATTATCTGTCCAGACAACTTGATTCAATCTGATACTTCAATAAGTAACTTTGATTTGTTTTTGTGTCTAATTACTCCATTTTACGTTTTGAAGTACGAAGAATCGAATAGAAATATTTTCTGAGCTTAAAGTCCACCGGAAGTACCAAAGTTCCAATTGGAGCACCTGGACTTCCGGTTATTTTTGCGCATAAAAATGTCACTATATTCCTACATGATAATAAACATCATAAGCTTTCCAACAAACCCTATTTTACATCATAACTCACTATTTTCACATTTTTATCGCATCAAAAACTTTTAAAAACTCGCTTCCTTCCGGGCCCGATTTATTGGGCCCCATGCATCTTATCAAAATGAGACATAGTTCGTCGTCTTCACCTCATCGAGATCTTTAATTTGATATATATATATATATCGATCCCATATTGGACTGCCGGGAATATAGGCACAGCGCTCATCTATTTGGCCGCCCTCTTTTCTGCCTAAAATTCAGCTTAATTGAACCACCAAGAGTCAAGATATTACTACAAAATAACGACCTTGAAAAGAAAAATAAAATATATTTTAACTGCATGTACCATACACTTATATTGAATATTTGATCATGAAAATTATATTTTTCTTCTCTTTATATGTTGTATAAATATATGTCAAAATAACACTGTCGCATATTTATTCAGTTTGTCATAAAAAACTGTGAAAAACAAGCACGATTTTCAGGCTATCTGACCGTCCAGTCTTCTTAAGTAGATATGTCTTAACACTCACTGAAGAAAGATTTTTTATTTTTCCGATATTTCTTCTCTTGCACATTATACAGTTAACGTTATCGGCGGCCACCGTGATCGGTATCGCGTTTATTCCGCTGTCGAAATCATGCCGACTGACCCTGCAATTATCCGGTTGAATCGGTCCGAGGGAATCGAACGACGAGCGCGCATTGGCCGGGCATAAATCGCGGTGGAATTAATGAACGTCGATTTCATCGCATCGTCTGCCGTCTGCGAGATCAAAACAGGAACGCCGGAAAGATGCGGAAGAGCGAAGAGGTCAAACACCACGACGCGTGTGGTCTTATCGTGAATGACGCGAAGGGGGCACACCCCGTCGTCAATCGCGATATGTCGGCGTTAACGTGCTCGGTATTATTTACTGCTGGTGATAATGACCATCCCCTGTGCTCGCGCAGGGCCGTGATCGGTAATCAGGCCCGCTTTCTGCAATTATTCCGGGCCTCATGCCGACGTTTAACGAGGCCGAATTGTATTTCATCCTGGGCCATAATGCTCCGGGACCGTTACTCTCGAATCCGGAGATGACCCGGCTGAAAAATGAAAAGCCCGGCTCTTTCACACGCTGTGCCTCGGGACAGCGACAACGGTCTGCTGCTCTTTGATACGCGAGGTCGATATTTCCCGCCGTCGAGAAGAGAAAAACGCACCGATGGTTCCACGGGTCGCATAAATTTGACTGAAAACGAGATCCATGGAAATCGAGTGTTTCAATATTAATAAATTAGGCACGTGCTTTTTTATACGTCCGCTCGAGATCGTGAGCTCTACAACCCGATTAAATCTTGGGTCAAGATCGCTTCTCTCTGATTCGTATATTTGAATGTGCTTAAGGAAGTGGAAGTCGTTAATAAGAGAAGGGTACTGACGTTGCAGCAAAGCAAAGCATTCCAAGGGTAATACACAGGGTTCCTCCGCAGGAAAACTAGTAAATGTTATCGTGGATGAAAGTTTCAACGAAGCTATGAGATAAACCGCAGAAAGACTAAATTTTCGATAAATCTCAGGACAAAATTTAACATATCTAAATGTTCAAAATGTTTTCTAACGTAATACAAAAAATGTGAAAAATTATTTCCAATGTAAAAATAAAAATTGTAAGACAAGATTAAATAAACTGTAAACGACTGGGATACACTCGAGCGACATGATGAGGTGGGTGGAAGTGATGGTGATTGCGAAAGCGACACGAAGTATCGGTAACGTATCGATAGCGACACAAAGACCCGCTCTGTGTTCTCATTGACAGACACGAGACGTGAGCGCGAGATCGCCCAGACTCCATCCCCCGCGCACGACTTTTTGCAACTCGCTATATCTGCCGTTGCACTCATGGCCGCACAATTCCCGGATCGATTCATAACAACGAGCGCAGGCTGAATGAACGCGTACGCGGTCTCGTATCGAGTCGCGAGCATCGTGAAAAAACACCGCGAGCAAGATATTAAACGTTAATGCAAAGGTCAATGTCCATTCCACAGTGGTGCAACGATACGAGAGTTGCATCGCGGACGTGGCGTTGCGTCACGAATGACAAGATTAATGCCCCTTTGTTATGAAGATATTCCATCGTTTGCTTTACATGGTATAACAAGCGATAATCCTGATACGGAGATAGAACGTGAGAGAGAGAGAGAGAGAGAGAGAGAGAGAGAACGCAAAAGAAGTTTTTTTTTCTAATGTTGTGATCGCGACGCGGAGAATTCGCAATGAAACGCACGGATGTCGCAATTACCGCGCTGGTAATCGTTAAGGGACACGGTGAACTATTGTTGTTCGCCAAAGCCGAACGCGTATAGAGCACGACTGGCGTGACGAATGTCTTTTCTTCGAACGTAACGATGCACTGTCAGATTCGTAATCTTTTAAAATAAAAATACCTTAAAAAATACCTTATAAAAGTCTAGCTGAAAAATCTTGAATTTAGGCCACATAGAAAAAATACAAAAGGATACTCAAACCATATTAAACTTAAAATTAAATTTTGAATTATAAATTGTGTTAATTTAAGTTTAATTTTAAATTTAAATGTGTAGTAATAAAAAAATGTGTAATATAAAATGTATAGTAATTAAATAAATTAGAAACCTGTTCTTAGATTTATGCTACATAGAAAAAAAATACCAAAAGATACGCAAACGATATTAAATATTTAAAATTAAATTTTTAATTAAAATTTAAGCTTAAATAATTTTAAGTATTTTTTTCTATATGGTCTAAATCTAAGAGAATAGGTTTTTCTAATCTATTTAAATTAAAAATTTAAAATCACCGTGTCGCTTGTGCGACTTCTGCAGCTGCAGGAAGGAGAGAAAGGGAAAGGGAGAGATCCCGAGCTTACGTGGAAATATAGCGGCACTGGAGTAATTAATCACCCGCGTCGGGACTATTGTCTTGCCGTTCACGGTATTGTACCGCGTTCAAGAGAGACTCTGCAGTACCGCGCTCGTAATTAAACGTGAATCAGCCCTGCGAGAATACATGCGGTGTTTGTGCATTTTCATTCCGTCCGTGCCGACTGTCGTCGTAAATTTAGTGCTCGCTCCATTGACCCGCATTCGCGGTGCCGCATTTAACGCCAAACGTTTTGCGCGCGATCCCAGCAGACTTCGCGTTCGCACGACTATACGACGATTGGAGTCGCGAGAAATCCGTTATGACAAGCGGAAAATTTAATGTGACAAACGCGAATGCTAATTTTAATAACGACACTCGCATAACGATCACGGCACGAACGATATAATTCGCGTCGGTCTTCGTTACGCGAGCGGAGCAATTCTCACGATTCTAACCGTGATTCATCACCGTCCATCTTCAATCTCGAAAGATTCCCGCGAACTAGGGACACCAGACACATAGAAGCCACATATTGAAAGTGGCGAAAAGAGAAGAAGGGAAAAAACTAACGGCGCCACCGAAAGCACCCACTACCGCCGGCGAGGGACCTTAATCCCTCGACGGTTTCTGTGGCTTTGTAGCAGGCAACGGCCGATCCCGCCATTAGCGGTGTCGGCGGACAAAGGCCTGACAAGTTTACGACACTTTCGACGGATTTATTTTACCGAGTGGCCGAATGCTGGTGTCCGCTTCTGAGAGCGTGACCGACTTCAGAGTCGCGGAAATCGCGTAATCGCAACCCAACTGCTCTCGCAGATTTTTCCTCACGAGAAACTGAGTTTCCGCGCAATCTTACACTGCGGAAATTTATTTGTGGGATATAAAGTTCTGTAAACAAACTTCATATTCCACAAATAAATTTTTAAAAATAACACACAAATAAATATCTTTTCCTCAATGTAGTGAAGAGATAAATGACCAGCAATTTGCTGGAATTTTTCAAGTGAATGTAGAAACCGACTTGTGTGTTCTCTCACAAATCAATGTAATTTTCCATTCGGTAATGAGAGGAAGTTGATCGCACTTACCCCGTGATGCACGCTGTATCGACATCGCGCCGCGTGTCCGGAGCACAGACACCGTCCCCCGATGTTGATTTCCTTTATGGAGTAAAAGGCTTGCCTTTTGTCGGCGGAAGACTCGCCGCTGCGTTGAAGCCCCTGAAGACGCAGCCGGACGTATCTGGCCTGGGTGAATTCCAACAGAGTCGAGCTGTGACTCAGGGCTCCGCGTCGACCGCTCACTAGTTGCGTATGGATCTTTTATATAAACAATTAAAATTCCTCTTAGTCCTGACAGTCTCCCGCTGAATGGTTTTTAAGATAATAACAGGCCCTTGTCGGCATCTCTCGACGATCAAACGTTATTCTTCTTTTTTATTAACAGCACGAAGAGAAGTTGCAATTTTTTTTATAGAAAAATTTTTTTTGATAGAAATATAAAGAGTATCCCATTTTAAATATCTTGTATTCTAATTTTTAATACTAATATTAATTAACCTCTCTAATTACACTAATATTTTTTATAGTGTTATGCAAATATATTGCGCAATATATTACGTAAAATTTATAGTGTTTTAAGAGGAAACACAAACGATGCTGAGGTCCTGAGAGATGCCGACGAAGGATTTGTAAGATAATAACAGGCCCTTCGTGAAGAATGCGAGGACAGTCCACATTTCGAAACGAGACGAAAATTTCAACTCGTGTGACTGAATAAGGATCAGACGAAAGCTTGACGATGAGAGACGATATTTTAGAATTATATTTGAGAACAATTGATTGAAACATTCTACGAAGATCTTTCTGCTCCTACAACCGAGTTTTTTCCTGGTCCCCAGAATAGAAAATCAGTAACACGAATCGAATAAGTTTCCCGTTGTCTGGCCAGACAATAAAAAATAGGAACCGGAAAACTTGTTTACAGAAACAGATTCCTGCAGAAGGTTCTTATTCAGTCAATTATCTTTAGTTATCTCAGCAGGAGTTTTAAAGCAAGTTTTAAAGCTGTATTCAAACGAATATTCTCGCTTTCTTCGGACATAATAGGGTGTCCCGTTTTAAACAAGCCAGCTAAATATCTCGAAAACTGAGCTCGGGCAAACAGGACCGCAGCACCGTTTGTGTTCTCTCTTAAAACACTATAAATTTTACGTAATATATTGCGTAATATATTTGTATAACACTATAAAAAATATTGGTGTAATTATGGAGGTTAATTAATATTAGTATTAAAAATTAGGATACAAGATATTTAAAATGGGATACTTTTTATATTTCTATAAAAAAATTTTTTTCTATAAAAAAAATTGCAACTTCTCCTCGTGCTATTAATAAAAAAGAAGAACAATGTTTGATCGTTGAAAGATTGTTAATCGAATCCCGACAGCAAAGATCCGCGGTATAATATCCGTGACTCCGTGTCGGTTAAACAAAATCGGCGACGGTCAATTAGCGTCGGCGGGTGAGAGGCATTAAATTCGAGAGATGCCGACGAAGGACTAAATCATCCACGAATGGTGCTGCGTGCTGAGAAGGGAGCGGCGAGTTCCGTAAATGGAGGGTGCACGCGGTGCCTAATAAGGGACAATCGCTTGTATTTAGGATACCACGCAATCCCACATTGATTGCCGAGTTTGCTTTTTAATTATTCGTATGTGACTCCGGCGACTCGACGCTCAGTCGATATGTATCTCGAAATAAGAACCGCAGGAGCCGCGCGTCAGGATTCAGAAAAGACCCAGGTATTTCGGATACAGAATTACGGCGCCCATTTGGAAGCTGAAGTTGCAAGGCTGCAGGAAAGACTACGAAGGAGAAGGTGGTGGAGAAGGGAGAAACGATGGAAAGGAATCAATGATACAAAAACGGTGATCCCTACATTCCGGCCATGTAAGGCGCTACGTGGCCGTATAAGGGAGTATCGCGTACGCACCTTCCCGACACAGAGGGGGGAGGAGCAGGCTTGGCAGTTTTACGCTTCTGCACGCGAACCGGCCACGCGGGGTAGGAAGAAGGAATCTGCAACGGCGGAAGGAGGATTGCGGTGGGACTAGTCGCCGTCGTCTCGGACACGTGAACGAGGAGAGGTGTATCCTTGAAGAAGAAGGAACAGGAGGAGAAGGACGACATCACAGAGTCATCACGTAGAAAACATGGCGTTAACGCGATTACGTGTAATTATGTCTCGCGCGGATGTAATTACACGGTCGCGTTGGTCGCGCGTCCTCGAGACGGAAAAATCGATAGTACGATTGACTCGGCTAATGAAGCAAACGCGACGCGACGCGGGAACGGATGAGGTGAGAGACAGCGACTTATAAATCTCCATTACGAAGAAATGCATTTGCTCGCGGACGGACCTCGGGACAGTCATTAACGTAGTTTTGCGCCGAGGAGGAAGTGCGATTGCCCCGACTCGCCGCTTATTAATGACCCCCGCGTCGGACTTCGTGGAGAAAAAAGAAAATGAAAACGCGGGATACGGCAGAGGCGGAAAAACGGGATCCACCGGAAGAGAGTGCGCGGCCCGGTGTAATCCCGGCGAAATCCTGCGCGTCCGCTAATCATCTTCTAATCCGCGTGATTGCACACCGCGCGCCGACCGTGCATATAAAATCGACGATAATTAATGATGCCGTGCGCGCTCGCGAGCATTTTCGCAAGGATTATTGATAATGACACGCTTAGCTGCGATCCTAGCGGAACGGGCGCCGGCGAACGTGAACGCCGCTGCTCGTTGCAGCAAAAGGCTCATTAACATAACGCTCCGCTGATGTTCGTTTGACCTCGTCGACGGGATTTTCCGAAAGAAGCGACGGGATGCGAAACGCGAAATGAAACAGGAACGTCTGCTGAGCTCGTCTGCTGAGCGATTGAGGAATTTAAAGGAGCAATTAATAAATAGCATTGAGGTATAAGCAATTAATTATAAGTCTATTAGAAATCCCGTGCAAAAAATGAAGGAGTCGTTCGACCACATTTTGCGAGTTTCACGGAATGAAAAGAAAACACTCACCTCGCCGTTCTCCATGGGGATCGGTTTGGAGTACTGACTGGTGCATATGACATCGTCGTCGTTGAAGAAACCGAGTTTGTTTCCAACGGGCGGCGTTGAATATCTCGACCAGCATTCCTCGTCGCTCGGAGCGTAATACTGCCAGGGGAGGAAGTTCACATTGTCCAAGGACCTCTCTAGAATCCAGGCGGCGGGTCTGGGCGAGTTCGCAGCCTTCACTATCACGTACTCCACTTGGTAGACCTGCAGGCATACGATACGAGGACATCAGTACGAGGAGAGTTGCTCGTTGCATGCGTTCAATCGCGATGGCCGATTCCTCGCATTCCGGAATCGTTGAAATTCGCCGAAGGATTCAAGAGCGCACATCTTCTCCGCCGCGGCGCGCCGAGATTAAAATCGCGAGATCAATGACGGGGATTCGCAGCTCCCCCGCGGCTCGCCGGGGAACCCCGCTGAGACGGGGGTCCCGCGACGGATAATTAATTCCGAGCAACCGCGGATCTACCGCGCGGAACGTCTACCTACTACCTGACGTTCGTTCCGTTCGCGTCCCGTAGCGCCGGCGAATAGGAGAGCACAATATCGCCGTAATGCACCGCTTTGTCAATCTTTCTCCCTCTCTTTCTTGGGCTCGGCGGATCGTCCCGGAAAAAAGATCCGCTTCGGAGGCGGATGTTGAAACCTATGTTAGATGTGTGTGTGTGTCTATGTGCGAACGACAATGAGGATTTTATGCGCGAACCGAGGCGGACGACGAGACTCGGTCATTGCTCCTCATTAGTCACCTTCTTTCATGCTTTTTGTTATATTTTTATTGTCCCTGCGCTCAAGTAAGATGAAACCCAATTATTCATCCCCCTCAGTCATTGATACTTTACATGAAGGGAATTTTATAATAAAAGTGTTCTGTCCTGACTGACTATCTTTTTATTTCACATGTGCTATTTGTACTTTAGGAATTGAAACGTGCTATTAAAAAATCTGTTATATTTTTAGGATGTTATTTAGTAAGATGGACCAGTTTATGTCTTACAGATAGTTCATTCCTGGACTATTAAAAACCTAGCAGACTCGAAAAGAATTGAAATAAAAAGAGACTAATATTCTCTCCGTAGAGGAACTGGTTTTTCTTGCAAGCAACAGGCGGTTGTTCAGTTGTAAAGTTCTCTGTTGAGATCGTACAGCACAGGTAAGAAGTTCAACTGCAATGCTGGTTGCATGGAAAACCAGGTTTTTCCTAGAGTGTCAATGACTAAAGGGATGTCAGTAATTGGGTATTTTGCTCTACATTGAGAGAAAAAATAATTAGTCTAACTAAAATTGTAGTTACTTCTGGCCCAACTATATTTTTGTAGTAAAATGATAATAGCAACGTACACACATAAGTCTATCACTAACATTATAGTAGAATTTAACAAAAAGATTGTTTTCTTGAGTACAATTTATAGTAATTACTTCTCTGCGTGTGATTATAGTTACAAATTGCTATTCTTTTTTCAGTGTACTATCCGCGGGGCGGCAGTCGAGTATTCCACGTGCAAAATGCGTACAATGCAACAGTGCGAGACACAGAGAGCTTGCCGACGATCTGTTTGCGATGGCGAACGTAAATGGCGCAAATACGAATTTTGAAATCCCGCCGTAACAAATCGCAAACGCAACGCGCACGACGAGTGAGCGTTGGCGAGCTATTCCATTCTCGTAGGCGAGCATTACACTATACGACGCTCCGTTAAGCGTTGGCTACACGTGAATGATACCACACACGTGTGTGGTATCATACGCTATTATCTCTACAAAACGCATAACGTTACGCGGTACTTTAGATAAGTACCTGCGATAAATATCCTCGCGTACTTTCGCACGGCACGCTTTTGTCGCGAATTCGTTGCTGCGCATGTCGTTGTGCACTTTTACCGTCCAGACGCGCGGTTTGATCGTGGATACCACTCCCGCATTTGCAAACTATGTAGAAAGTCGCGAAACATTCAGTTGGCTGACTCTGCTAATATAAATGTCAGACGTTTTTCATTCCATCACACGGAAAGAATTTCCTAACAAAAATTGCTATAGAATTTTGTAACCGAGGAACAGATCGATATTCTGCAATAACTGGCTATCCTTTCATTTTATACGTGCTGATGATATTTAGGAACTGAAATGTTTTATTAAAAAATTTGCTATTTCTAACGAAATTCGCTGTTTCTCACAAGTAAACCTACCCAAAAGTTACTTTCTAATTTCGCACAAATATAGGAGTACAAAAAATATTTAGGTCATATTTTTTAATTTTGGCCCATTTTGAGTTTCATGGCAGTTTATAGCTTTTTAATATTCTTACTTCTGTTATCAACAAGTGCAACAAAAATGCATAAGAAATAAAATTGAATACAAGATATAGGCGTTTTTGGTTTACTGATTATAAATATAAAGTTAAATGTGTAAAATTATTTATATAAATAATAAAATGTTTAAACAAAACACGTAAAAAGTTGAAAAAAATTATTTACACAAATAATTTCTCGATTTGGCCAAGATTCGAACCATTTTTAACTAATTTAGCATAGATTTGAAATATTTCGGTTGGAATCTCGGCCAAAGAAATTTAGAATGGTTCGTGTCTCAACTATGCCGATTTTGTTAAAATTATTTAATTGTATCTTGTATTCAATTTTATTTCTTATGCATTTTTATTGTATTTGTTGATGATAGGAGTGAGAACATTAAAAAGCTATAAACTGCCCGTGAAACTCAAAGTGGGCTAAAACAAAAAAATATGACTTAAATATTTTTTGTACTTCTACATTTGTGCTAAATTAGAAAGAAATTGGAGTACCTTTTGGGTAGGTTTACTTGTCAGTAAGAGAGACTTTATCGGCAGTCTGTTCTGGATTATTAGAAACATAGTAAAATTGCAAAGAATTTATATGAAAAAGAAATATAATATTCCTTTCGTATGCATAATTAAAGAATTTAATAATATTTCCCCCGTTGATTATTATTATGCCACTAAAATTAAATTAAATTAAATTAAACCAAATTCAATTATTCTCGTTCCTTTAATTTCTTTTTTTTCGTGTTTTCGCAGTCGAATTCCCGAAAAGTTTCAGGAGTCGCCGTAGGCGAGGATGTGCAGTCACTCGCATCACCGAGGCCGCAGTTTAACAAGACGGGAGTCCTTCATCCTGCCGTCGTGTCGGGTCGCGTCTTTGTCGTTGTCGTCGCTGTCGTTGTACTCGTTGTGTCGTCGTTACGCCGGCATTGTGAGACCGGACCGACGCCCACTTTCGGACCATAAAGACAGATCGCATGTCCGCGATACCGGCTGCGTTTCCTTCTAAGGACTTCGTCCGGAACGGCCGATTCGAGCCCGTTCCGTAGCCGACTTCAATTATCCGACCCTCGTAGACGAAGACGCGTACGTGTGAGAGCGCGGGACGACCGATCGCGGCTACCCTTTGGGCGCTAAAGGTTGCATCGTTGCACGTCGATGGGTAATTCTCAATTTGCACGGTTAATGCCTTTCTCTGGAGAGAAAGAGACCGAGAAACAGATCGCAAAGTAAAAGCACCAATGCCCGGACCTACAATCCTTAACATTCTTATTGTCTTGGCCTTTAAATACGATTACTTGAACTTTCAACATAAAATATATATTCCATGTTGAAAGTCTGTTAAATATTCGTATTTAAAGATCAAAAGAATAACAATGTCCAAGATTAGATATGTGTCCGGGAATTAGTACTGCTATCTTAGATCCTACTTTGCTTTCTAAGTCGATAGAATAATCATCCCTCTCGAAGTGCGCGCAAAATTCGCCTTTCGTTTCTCTAATGCGATTAAATTTCAATTCCTTTTCATCTCTTTCCTTTTTCTTCCATTTACCCTGGTGTAATCCTACTCGCGTCCTATCTATCCGTGAATGGCAGCGTTGTGTCGACGCGCGACGGACAGCGTTAACGAGGATACCCGTTTCGACGAGCAGTCGGTTCGGTGCACGCAAACGCACGTACCGCATACGTAAAGCGGCGTGCCGCGAGGGGAATGTATTTGCACATCAACATTGTTATGACAGGAGCATAGGAAAAGGGAAAGCGTTACGCGAGGCAGTCTCTACTCGTGCGGTTGCTCGCTTTTTACCAGCCAAATATTTACATTGGCCGCACATGTTCCGCTTCAGCTTCCAGTCGCCATCGGCATCGCGTGTCTCGTCATGGGGTAGGTCGTAAGTAAACCGCGAACGCATTACTGGCTCAAGGTTAGCACCCGCCTGCCTACCTTCTTGCCGGGTGCCTCAAGGGTGTTGGGTATCCTCGTGGAACGATGTACACGAGGAACTCGGAGTTTATCGCCGGCACACGACAGAATTATTGACAGAGGGTGAAGTTCGTTCAAACGACGGGACGATTATGTGCTCGACTGCTACACACAATGAATGTCGCTGGATTATCTTTAAAGAAGAAGAACAAATGCTAATCTAACTAAAAGTTAGATCTGGAGGGAAGAGTACGAGAGCGGAACTACGTGTCAATCTTGCGATTCTCCGAAAAATCGGACAAATTACAAGTGTACAAATGAATTTCCGCAAGATCAGTGAGATATAAAATGGAGCAGTAAAGTGGGAGTGTTTTGGTTGGAAATCAAGGATTATTCACTGATTACTGGTGAAATACTCCTTTTACTGACTCAGTCAGAAGCATTTTTACCGACTCACTTTGAGAGAATAGGACATGGCATTATCGTGTGAGAGTCTGTTGATATTTCGTGGGTCGCGTGGAGAAGGTGTTCCAGAACGGTCCACTTGGTTCAAGAGGCGCGTCGTTTATATTCGTTACCGAGTTAACGCGCGTAAATAGCAGTCGGGATCGGGTGGCTTTAGAAGGCGTGTCAAGGGTCTGAGCACTTGACGCACCCCGCCTCGAACTTCCGATAGACACACGTTGCCGGGAGTTCGTCTCTTTTCATCGGTAAATCACAGAGATCGTGCTACTTGAGATTCCGCTCCCGTACTCCATGCCATAAACCCAGCTGTACACGGGAGCTAGCTCTAGGTCTGCTTCGCCGTTTTAGGCGCAGCGCCATTTCTTCCGCGAAAATGAAAAGTGGTCGCGCTCGATATCGCGCACGGTATCCGAGAAGCGCGACTGTGTTTTGCCACCGTAAACTCTCGGCGGAGACCGCAGCAGCCGGGAATTCTCGAGACATCGGCCACGTGACGACGGCTCCCACGATCCGGGCGAC